TAGCCACTGTCATTAGTAGATTAGCCCACTTAAATTTGACATACAGATAATCTTTCTAGGAGAAATACTTTGCTTTGTGGATATCCAAAGAATGTTTCGCTATAGGCTACTAATTTTTTTAATGACAAAATAGTTTAATTCATTTCTCCACACCTATTACCAAAGCTTCATTTTAAATAATCATATATGCACATGAAAAATATACCATTATCACACTGCTAGTATTGCTCTACTATTTAACATATTGGGAAGGCATATTTCATTTAGCGATAATAACCTTGATCCTGCTAGTTGCTGAGCACTTCCTGGGAGGTACTAATCAAAGTTGCTTAGCATAACACAAGATACTGAGTGATACAGTTTGCTGCTGTTTACAACTGTGCCCAAATAAAAAGGGTTGCTCAGCAACAAGTGGGTGTTCTGATGGATGGAGTTGGGAGACTGTTGTACTTAACTGTGATACTAAATTAAAAAAAGAAGTTTCTTAGCAGCTATTTCAGCTGAAAGTTGTGCCAGGCTCTAATTTGTAATATTCCTTAGACAAGCGGACTGAGTAGCATGACTTGCCTGTCCTCTCCAGAATGGCTAACACTAATCCCCTCCCAGGTAAATACTGTATAGGCCCCATGCAAGAGCCTAGCTGTTTCAATGTCTCCCAAGATAGTCAAATACCTATGCAACTACCTGTGAGTCCCTGGTTTTACTCTGTCACCTGTATGTTTAAAGCATGTTGGGAAAGTTACAAATGCAAAAATCACACACTGGGAATTCTGTGCACCTTGTAACGCCGTAGGCTACAGAGGACACAAACATAACTATGGGTTTTCTTGCTGTGTAGCGTCAGAAAGCCCACCGCCAGCCATAACAATGAAAACATAAGCAATACCCTTCAGCCAATCTTAAGTACTGCACTAGCTGAGCTAAACAGTTTCTCACAACACACACAAAAATTCTCTCTTTGTGACATTTATTTCAACATTATCCACTGCTCTACACTGAAAGCGTCCAAGCCAATAAGATCACAGGCTTAATGTATAGCTATAGAGATAAATCTGTCTACCTTTTTCTAATATTTGCCCAGCTCCCCTGTGACCCATAGTTGAATAAGAGTCACAGATTTATTTTCAGAGTTTGAAATATTTACCTCACTGTTCCCACTGATTGATGGCAGCAGGCTCAGGCTCCCATAAAGGTAACTAATTTGGAATATTCAGTGTTGATCTGGAATAACTGCCAGCTTCTGTGCTGCAAAGATTATTTCTGTCTGCATTAAGCACAGCGGACTGCTGGTTTGATGCCTGCAAGGGTATAAATCTTTACTTGTGTCATTTTAATTTTTTTCAGAGAACATAAATGAAAAAGAGGCTCTATTTCAACAGTCACTTAAGTGGCTTTGAGTAGGGCCCCCCTAGGGTGACCAGACAGCACATGTGAAAAATCGGGACAGAGGGTGGGGGGTAATAGGAGCCTATATAAGAAAAAGACCCCAAAATCGGGACTGTCCCTATAAAATCGGGACATCTGGTCACCCTAGGGCCCCCCCTTCTAACAAAGATCTAGAGGCCAAGTAACAGGGGACACTTGATTACTCTGGTGGAAACAGATAGCTGCTATACCCTATGATATATCTGCCTATCCTTTTATCTTGCCAGTGGCCTGGTGTGCATGCTCTCAGGTTGAGGCTAGCATAATCATTTCCCACCATTACTAATATTGGTACAGCTCCATCAATAGACAAAGTGCCATCAGCTGCCAACATTTTAATCACTTTCTCAGCTAACCATGCCCAGAGTAGGTCTAAATGGCATACTGAAACTCCCATTGACTTCAATGGGAGCAGAGCGTGGCCAATGCTAAGCACTTTTCAGAATTCCACCTTCAAAAAGGTGACTTTTCACAAAGCCAGATGGAAACACAGGTATTGGGTTTTTTTAAAAATAGCTTTGTTAGAGGTAGTTTGGGGGAAATGTATATTGTATATGGTAGAACCTCACCAACTCAATAATTAGGAGAGCAGTTACTAATTATTAAGTTAGCAACTTAGTAAATGAATAGTGGTCCTAAGGATACTGCACTACATGTACTTTGTTCCTTCACTCAAGTATAACTCCGTTTTGTGATACTTTGCTATACATTAGTAAGTTTTCTATTTTTGTACAAGTAATGAAATCTGAGTCCTGGCACCTTATTAAAATGCTCTGCTCTTTATTATTTTTTAAAGGTATGTCAGGAGAGACCACTATTTGTGTGGCTTATAAGGATTACTGTTTAATGAAGTGTATATTTAAACACTTGTGGTATACCATCACACACCATAAATCAGCAAAATGCTATGCAAAATTCAATTAAGTTTTATTTAAGGAACAATCCCACATCTAAAATAACTGCCAAAATCTTGCTGTAAACTATATTTATAAGCCCAATGGTAATATATATTTCTAGGATCCCCCTCTCCCTATCAACATCTGAAGAGATTGTTGTTTGAAGGAAAGCTAATAGCTGGTTACTTTGCTTTTTAAAAAAATACATGAACGGTAGGATGGGGGCATTTTGAAGGTTACAGAGTAGAAGAAATTCACGGGTTGTGTTCTGGACTTGCCAGCCAGGTTACCCCGGCACGGGGACGGGTGTAAATGGCATCCCTCTATTGAGATGAAAGAGCGCTCCCTGGACACGGGCGTGGGGTGCAGATTTGCAAGGAGCCTGTCTCCGGGCTAGGAACCAGGCTGGGGGGTGTCTGTTGCACGCCTAGAGTGGGGCTGTCCAGGCGGGGGCCAGGTTGGAGATGTGGGGCGGAGGGGCTGAAGGTTTGGGGGAGTCGGGCCAATAGAGGGCGGCCCCGCTCCGTCTAGCTGGAGCTAAGCCCGGGGGCCCGCAGCGGGAGCGCCAGGCCCAGGCGAAGACAGCGGGACCCGAACCCCCCCGGCGCGAGCTCGGCCCCGAAGCGCCTAGGGCCGCGTCCCGGGCTGAGCAGCGGGAGTCCCCCAGCTCCTAGCCCCGCCCGCACAGAGCGCCCCGCCCCAGCTCGGAGGCCGCGATGCCGGTGGCGTCGCTCCCGCGAGGGCGCCTCCTGCCGGTCAGACGGACAAACGTGGGGGAAGGGGGAGGGGCGCTCGACTCCCGGCCTCCGTTCCCGGCTCCTCCCCCCGCACCGCACCGCTGCGCTCTGCCGCCATTACAGGCGGGGGAGGGGCACCGGGGGGCGCTCAGCTAACCGGGAAGGCGCTCTCTCAGTCTCCTTCAGGAGACTCCGCCCCTCCTTAGCAACCGGCCAGTTGCCAACGCAGAAGGGACGACCAGGACGTGACGTCAGGCTATTGTTCTTTGAACAGGAAATGGGCCCAACCGAGTTTCTCCTGTTTTTCGGAAGAGAGGGAAGGAGGCGAAGCAGAGTCTGCCCGCTACCAATCAGAATCAAAGAGTACAGAGATAACCCGCCTTCATCCGTCCAACACGCCAATCAGCCTGAGAAGTGGGAGGAACCCGTCCCTTCCGGTGCAGCGTGCCAATCGGAATCAGAAAACCCAGAGCTCAGGTCTCCGGCGCAACGGACCAACCAGAATGGGAAGACCCAAAGAGCCCGCCCACCAATCCCAAGGGTCCAATCAGAACCAGGAGGAGGAGACAGAACAGGTCCCCCACCTCAAAACGTGTCAATCACAACTCGAAGGCCAGAGTTGGGCCCACCTCGCGCAGCCCATGGCGCCAATCAGAAACGGGAAGGCGGGGGAACCTCAAGATATTCAAATCAACCCCACAAAAAAGTGGCTTCGGAAACGCCGCGAGGAGGCGGAGCTAGAAGGCGGAACAGCGAGCCCAGGCAGTGAGCGGCAGAGGCTGAGCCATGGGGGCAGAGCCCAGCCAATAGCGCGAGGCGGAGGCGGGGCGAACCACGATATGCTAATGAGGGCTATAAATGACGCAGCGAGCGGGGTGACTGACTCCGGCATAGCGCGGACGCAGCGCCTATTTGTACCGGGGTGGTCGTGCAGGAAGGCGCGGCGCCCTACACCTCCCCCCCGCCACCGCACCGGACAGCGCTGCCCCGACCCAGCTGAGACCCCTGCTGCCGTTGCCTTCGATGGGGCGCTTTCCACCCATCTCTTGCCCGCAGATCAGCGGCAAGTGCCGCAGAGACCAGTCCCCCCCCAGTACAGCAGGAGGGGGGCGCATATTCGAGCAGAGGGGTCCCCTCCAGCACCCAGTGCCACCTTTGCCGGCAGCGTCCGACAGACCCTCCCCCCCCCACAGCAAGTGACAAAGCTGCTCCGAAGCCCACGCAAACTAACCCCCCCTTCTCCTTCCCCTCCCGCCGGCCGTGGGGCAAGGAGACTGCATGCCCCGGAGTGAGTGCAGCCAGCATGCCGCGGGGAGGGGGCACTTAGCATTCAGCTCATCCATAACCCATCCAGCGTTTTTTTTATATAATTCCCCTCCCCCCACACACACGGGGGCTGTTTTACAGGGTGAAACGCACCCCCATTAAAGAGAGACTTAAGAAAGCAAACCCTGCCCCCCACTCGCATCTAAACCTCCTCCCCCTTCTTCCCTAGCAGCCTCTCTCCCTTACTACAGCCATAATGAATACTGTACATTCCTAAATGTTGTTGTGCTGTAATTTCTCCCTCTGTCCACCCAGCACTTTCCCCGGTACCTACAAAACCTCCCCCCACAACTACACACCCAGAAATAGCCCCACAAACCCCGCTTCCCTGCCCCCCGTCTTCTTGTCCAGTATTTTACACTGAAAAGCAGAGTCCTTGCTTAATAAGAGAAGCCGGAGACCTTTTGTTCCGCCCCATGACAAGAGCTAACGCTGCAGATCAGCCCCTCTCTCCTCTTCTAGGCTCTCTTTTCCTGCTTTCTCCCTCCTCCCAAAAATAAAACTACCATCCCTGCAGGGTGCGGGGGGGCGGGCAAGGGGTGCCAGGACTCAGCTACCAAGGAAAGAAAAGACAAACCTAACCCAGCACCACACACACACACAAGAAAGCACTTACCTTGATATTTGGCGTCAATTTCTCTCATCAGGGAGACATTTCTCTGCAAATCGAAGGGCAGAGACTCGATGGAGTCCAGATAATCCTCCACATAGTTCACGAGGTGAAGCTGCTCTCCGTTTGCAGGACTCAACATTTTCATCCGGCAAGACAAACAGTCTTCCTCCCCCCCTTCTGTGCGAGAGCGAGGGCTGCTCGCTCCAAAGACGACAGCCCCAATCTGCACAGCTCGCTCCCTGCCCACCTCTCTCTGGAGCTCCCCAAAACCGAGAGAAGCTACATCTGACTCCTCTCTTGTAAACGCCGAGGGAGAGAGAGACACACACGCACCCTCCGCTCGTCCCCACCGCCAGCAGCAGCTGATTGAATGGCTGTCGTTGTGGGTAACTCACGAAGGAGGTGGTAGGAACAATCAGAGGGATTTGTGTGTGCGAAGGGGGAGGGAGGGGGGCTCAAACCCGATCCTCCGAAACAATCTGGAAACAAAATCTGTTGTGCAAAGTGTCTGACAGAAGCAGCAGCTCCTCTGGGCGCCCGTGTGCCGCTCCTATCCTCTCTCCTTCCACGCTCTTCTCGCCGCCGCTGCTCCCGTCCCCGGTTATATTAATGCAGCCTCCCTTCTCGCTATACGCCGCACTTGATCCAACGTGGAAAACCCAAATACCAGTTTCAAACACTTGGGAAACATTCAGCCCCGCCACGCAGCGCGCATGCGCACCCCTCCCCTCTACACACTGACTCTTCCCCCCCCCCCTCACAGCAGCAGTACTAACGCTCATGTGCATATTTATTATCTCTGCACCTCCTCTCCTTACTCACGTTTAAGAGCAGGAGGTGGGGCTGCTGCAACAGCAGAAACAAGCGGGGGGAGGGGGAGAGGCTGAGGTTGAGGTTGTGCTGCTGCTGCCGGTAAGGTACAGCGGGAACAACTGTTTTCCACAGGCGTTTGTGTGATGCCGAGAGGGTACGGGGAGCCAGAGCACGGTGCTAAGGAGGTACGTGGCCAGCTGGAAAGTAGCATGGTTACGTGCAAGAGCTCTGACGCTACCGGGAAAGTTGTGCAGGGTGCTCAGATGACGGCGATGCACGGGACGTTTGCACATGATGAGCTCAGTGGTTGGTGCTTTTACACGGGGGTCACTGGCACAAACTTTGTGCAGCTGGTGGGAAAGGCTGCGCTGTCCCGGACAGCCGCTCCCGCGGGAGATAACGCCGCAGGACCAGCGGATCATGCAACGCTGCTGCTGCTGCTTCAGCCCCAAACTGGACCGCCCAGCTCACAGGCACGGCTCCCCCGGAGTCCCGCTGAACGGCCACAGGCCCAGTTTGAGTCTCGGTACCCGGATCCCCGGCCCCTAGCGGAACCACCGCCAGGCAACAGCATCAATTCAAGAGTCACCCGGCCAGCGCAGGCTGCTGCTGACATTCCTGCCAGCCAGTCGTGTCCCGCCCCGGCGCCCTGCGAGCCAATCGGGGACGGGAATCGGGGCGGAACAAGCAATGACAATTCTCCCTGGGACACCGCGACAAGGGAGGGGGAGGAATGCGCATGCGCCCTCTCACGAGGGAAGACGAGAAAATGGAGGTGGGAGGAGTTAAACTACATTTCCCAACAGCCCCTGGGTCCCGTCCTGAGCATGCGCTGTGCACGTGTGCTGCGGGGCGGGCAGGAAAATCCCTCGCACGCAGTCCGCACATGCCCATGCAGGAAACAAAGGGGTTACTGGGGAGGGAGGGGACAGCGCGTGTGTGTTGGGGAGGGTCTGCGGGGGGCGCACGTGTGAGGGGGAGGGAAATGCCTCAGGGGTGTAAGGGGGGCATGGCCTATGGAGGGGGAGGGAAGGAAATGGGGGGGTAGAGCCCAAGGGGTGTTGCCCGTGTGAGGGTGGGTGAAATAGGAGTGGGGGAGCTTTATGCAGCCCCGTCCTCTGTCAGCTTCCTGCCCTAGTAGGTTCCTGTGTTCTTAAAGGTGCTCTGATGAGAACAATGAAATTCATTCCCCCCCCTGCAACTCCCCCCCCCCTTTTTCTACTTGGACTGCTCAAGAAGCCCCGTAAGTCTTCTGGGTCTCCCTTGGCTCACCGGAGATGAGGACTGGCTGCGCCTCTGAAGGGGCCAGCTTGTTGTAGCTTTAACAAAATAGCTTTTCATCCAGCAGTTTGAGTTAAAAGCCAACCAAAAAGGAAAAACAAACAAACCTGCAGGAGAGTTTTAAACTGCCTGAAGAATTAATCACATCTCTAAACTAATTTGATTTCACTTCTTTGGCAGCTGAGATGTCCTATCCCTACTCGTTCTCTAGTTGCCCACAGAAAAAGAAAAAAGTGATGTCTGAGCTATTAATATGTAAAATAAACCCTGCCAGCCTTCATGCAGCATAAAGAAATAAAAAAGACACACAGCCAATTATGTTTCCCAGTGTAGGTCACCTTTAATTTAGATTGTAACTAGAGGAGAGGGAATCTTTGTTTTCTAAAGTTGGTACACATCTATTTTGCTGCATGTGTTAGGAGGCTACTCTACCTCTCCGTGTCCACAGAGGCTGAGATACAGTAGTACACAGTATGCCCCATCCCCAAGGAGGAAGAGACTAGTGTACACAGCAATTTCTCTTCCTCACATCCCCCCCCCTCTAAAAATGCCCCAATCTCCGAAAAGGAGAGTGCCTAACACACAGCAAAATCCTCCCCAATAGAAGATATCCCCAGAAGAGTGAATGAGAGACTGTGACATGCAGTAAATCCTCCATTCCAGAGAGGGAAAGAGATGGTAAAACGTACACAGTGTGCAATACTCTCTGCACCATACTGTGGGTAGGTGGGAAGGGAACTAACCCACCCCAAACCCTTCAGAACACACACTTCCAGAGGCTGAGATACTAAAACATACACAGCAGAATCCTTGTCTCATCCCTAGACAGGAGACACTAACATGCAGCAAAATTCTCCCTCAATCCACAATAATTTGAGAGGGGAGGGAGAGTGTAACACATACATGAGCACGCGCGCGCACACACACACATCATCAAAACCACCCCAAACCTCACTGGGGACATAGACTGCAATACGCACAGCAAAATCCTCCTTTCCCATTGATAGTGTTTCCTTCCCTCACACTCTCCCTGCCCTCCAGTAAGGGAGATTTTGGGTAGAAAAAGCTCTGGCTGGAAAGCTCATTTCTCCAGAGGTGGCAGAGACGCAGCGTTTCTCTGATCTGCCTTGCTGCTGTGCTGTTGGAGCTAAGATCATGATGGCAGAGGGGAGGTGTCTTTCGAAGGAGCTGAAAGTGTAATTATTTTAACAATAGCCTTTAAAATAAAGTGATTAAAAATCAGCAGGTTTCTCCCCTCCCTCTGTGTGCTTTAATGGGGGGAGGATATTTTTATTTAAAATGGATACTTATTGGTAAGCCCAGTTGTCAAGACAACAGTATTATTAGCAGGAGAGGCCTAGCTCCTCCTCTTCCCCCCCCATCTTCTCTCCTCCCCTCCCCCGCCCGCCCTTCCTTCCTCTTCTCCCTCCTCCCCAATCACTCTTTGGTTGCTTGTAGTTTCTCTAGTAGCTCTTCATGCATTTCTTCCCTGCGTTTCTTTCACTGACCTGACTGTTACCACTGAAACTTCAACTACAGGAAGCAGAGGATAACTCTGGTTGGTGTCTGGAGGAATCTCTCGTGGGGGGGTTGGGACCGGATTTCTCCTGCTTGTTTTATTGCTTATGCTATAAATTCAAAATATGGGGAATATAAATTGCAAAACTTCATTTTCCTAGATGCTGCATTCTCAGCCTGCAATGTCTATGGCTATGTGAACAATCATAAAAAGAGTGGGGGAAGAACAGTGTTGTGATGAAGGCACTGCAGGATAGACCTCTTCTTCCTTACAAAGGTTATATGTATGTTTCTCTTCTCCTGCTTTAAGCAGTCTTCATGAGTACTGAGTACTGACTCATGAAGACTTGACTTTACTCATAAAGACCTTCACTTAATATAACTGGATTGGCAAAGTGTGATTTTATCACAAGTCTCTCAATATTAGGAAAATGTATCTGTGCTTATCTGAAAATTTCCTCTTTTAAAGCCCCAGATCCAGAAGTCATATGATTACAGGAGAATCTCACTTTTTTTTTTTTTTTTTTTTTAATGAAAGCTAAGTTTCTAGCCTCATGGTTGCAGAGAAAAGCTGGAAAACACGATCCTTAAAGGCTCCAAAACCAGAAGGCAAATAAAAAGAACCCCACATTTGTTAGATTAATAATCTCATGATTTTAAGCCAATTTCATTATTTCTGGCGGCCTGACTCGTTATTTTTGAATGCATAGGGTTGGCAAAACTGTTGCTATTGTTTGTTAAGCACTAATACTGTGGTCAGCACTGTACAGAACAGAGAGGAAGAGATAGGCCTTGCCCAAGGAATCTGAATCTATCTAGATATTTATACTATGCTTATCACAATAATATCTGAGCACTAAATAACTATTATAAAATCTCTGCTTTCTTCTCTGTTTTATGCTTTACCCTCTCTGTTTTCTCAGTTTCCCCTTTTTGTCTCTTAGTTGTCTTACTTATGATGTAAAACATTGAACAGCTAAGAGAGCCATTAAATGTGTATATTTATTCTGTGTAGTAAAGCTCCCACATAATACTCTAGCCACAGAACAATAATTATACATACAAATAATAAACTCAAATGGCTGTAAAAGGACCTCCTAACTCACCAAAAAATGAACTCTCCTCTCTCCCCTCCAGCCCTATTCAATGCTTTAGGGAAAAGCCTGGGGAAATAGATAAGCTTTGCAGTGTTTCCTGAAGATGATTTAGTTGGGGATTGGTCCTGCTTTGAGCAGGGGGTTGGACTAGATGACCCTTCCAATCCTGATATTTTATGATTCTAAGGTCAATAAATCAGGGCTGTTTGGTGCCAAGAGGGAGAAAGTTCCAGAATTGAGGATCTTCCACTGACAAGACGTCGGAACCTGCCCCTTGTTTGAACCAGAGGATTGTAAACTCAAGTGCCTTGGTTGATCACAAGTGTCAAAGTATGACAAAAGGGGAGAGAGAAGGTCTTTCTGGTAGTCAGGACCCAAACCCTTTAACATGTTATGCATCAACACCCACAAACCTGAGGTTCGCTCAGAAATCAACGGACAGCTAATGAGTGCAGGGGACTGGACTAGATGACCTTTCGAGGTCCCTTCCAGTCCTATGCTTCTATGATCATAAATTGAATGTCCTCTCTGCGTGAAATACACAACGGGCAGTCTAATTCTGCACTAACTTTAATTTTTTGAATGGTGGTTAGCCCTTTAAGGATAGTTGAGCCTACCTCCATCT